AGACGCACGGACAACGGAGACCGCTTACTTCAGATGTGTGCCGATCACAGGCTGTTCCTTTGCAGTACGAATTTCCGGAACAGCGGACATCGCTTGACAACGTGGTGCCCACCATCAAACCAGCGCCGAATCCAAATAGACCACATCGCCGTCAGTTAACCGTGGCGAGGGTCGATCACCGCCTGTCGCTCCTTCTGGAACACCAGCGTGGACTGCAACCATGCACTAATACGCTGCTGCTTTTTATTGCACTTTTCAGGTGTGTGCAAATCGCGCACACCTCGCTTAGCCATTAAGAAGCTAGTGGACCCAGAAGTCAAACGAAACTGTCAGAACCAGCTCCTTGAATGCCTGTCGGACGGTCCGGTGTCAGATATAGACGACCACTAGGAAAAATATACAAAGCGGTACGCAAAGCCGGATTATCCGCTTGCGGTACAACCCATTCAACCTCATCCAAGCATTGGATCTCTGATAGAACCGTGTCTTTGCTGGAGATCCGGTGACAGATTCTCCCTGGTCGCCATCACAACTCCACCCGGCGCATCATTCGACGCCAGGTGAAACTGAGTGTCCGCACAGACAGAGAAGCTTGGTGGACCCGAAAGGTCGAAGAAATGGAAGATGTCAAGAATGCTGGAAACATGAGCAAGCTGTTCCACTTGATTCGTTCGACTGGTCCTCGGAAACCTCTTGTCAGCGAAGTAATCAGGGACAAAAATGGCTCCCTGATATGCAACAAAGCAGAACGTTTAGACCGCTGAGCACAGTACTTCGAGCAGCAGTTCAGCTGACGATCTGCCACCTCCAATCCAGAAACCTGGCTTTTAACAGAAAGGGTGGACCGTAAATATGGAGCCGCCTTCAGTCTCAGAAGTGTCCGAATGCATTTCTCCACTCAAGCGTCATCGTGCTGCTGGTCCTGACAACCTTCCACCTGCTCTTTTCAAGGATGGCGATGGATTCCCCAGTCAGTGCCTGTCTAGTCTATTTGGGTGTATCTGGGAGAAGGAGACCGTCCCAGACGACTGGGGTGAATCGATAGTAGTGCCCATTTTCAAAAAGGGTACTCGCAGTGAATGTAGCAACCACAGAGGTGTTAGTTTGACGCCTGTTGTGACAAGGTTTCTGGCGTCATTGATTCTTCGTCGCCCCAGAAATTTATAAACATAATCCGATCCCTATATTCACATACTTCTGGGCGGGTAAGGGTGTATGATGAGCTCTCCAAAAGCTTCCCTACAAAACGTGGTGTCAGACAGGGATGTCCACTCTTCCCATTCTTTTTCAACTTCGTCATCGGTGAAATAATGAAGCGAACACTGGATGGTTTTCAAAACCCCGGTGTCTAAATTATTGCTGGCGAGAGCCTTGTCTACCTGGAGTACGCAGATGACATCGCCCTCATCTTTGAAGACCATAGCGAAGCACAAGCCCTGTTGAACAAACTGACCGCCATCATACCATCATTTGGCATGCGCCTTGCACCTTCAAGGTGAAAAGTTCTGCTTCAGAACGTGCCATCTGCGAACATATCCCTTACAGTTCAAGGAGAACCACTGGAGATTGTGAAAAACTTTACATA